TGGTGGGGGGGGGGGGGGGGGCGGTGTACAAAGACCATAAGGGCATGCTGGGACATGTAGTTCTCTGATGTGGAGAGGTGTACAGGGGCAATGAAGGCATGCTGCTGGTTTGTAGTTGAACTGCAAGTCCCAGCATGCCTTCATTGTTCTACCCCAGGGTCGCAGGCACTGGCGTTCTACTACTTGGAGGGGGGTGGGGGGAAGGAAAAGAGGGCCCAGCCCAGCACCGACATTGCCTCCTGGGACTACAGCTCCTAGGGTGGGGGGGGCCTTCATGGTTTCTTGCACGCGGGCCCTGTGGTTTCTAGTTACGCCTCTGCACCCTTTTGAGAGATCCTTGATTGTGAGATCTTCAGTGATCTACCTTTTTTGTATGTTCCCTTTTAGGTGGTCCACACATGAACACCAGGTTGGCGAGCTGGCCCGTTCTCTAGGGTTCACACATGTCTCGCTCTCCTCGGAGGTGATGCCAATGATCCGCATGGTGCCCAGGGGTTACACAGCCTGCGCTGATGCCTATCTGACCCCATGTATACAGAGATACCTGGACGGGTTCAGCAGAGGCTTCAAGAACCAGCTCAAGGTGAGACACAGGACATGGACACAGGATATGTGTGTTTACTGGTTTGGAGCACCTGACTTTATAGATCCTAGAGCAGGAGGTTGTACAAATCATGTAAAATCAAGAAAATGACGTACTGCCAGAGGCACTGTGCAAAGCCTGATGAATCTGACTACTACAGCTTGTATGCACCAGTAGAGTTTGAGGTCTGATATCATTTCACAAGTCACAAAGCTACTTCTACCTGCAGGATTTACAGGTCCTCTTCATGCGTTCCGATGGAGGCCTGACCCCGATGCAAAGCTTCAGCGGTTCCCGCGCCATCCTCTCTGGACCAGCAGGGGGAGTGGTAGGTTACGCCATCACTACCTATCGGCCCGACAATCCCCAGCCTGTTATTGGCTTCGATATGGGAGGTGAGACAGATGATGAGTGGCCCAGCAGGCAAATATTATAGTGTGCAATCTGCCCTTATTAATGACAAACCTTTAACATCTGAACCCAGCTTGGCATTTGATGGTAAAACTTATACATACCTTTTGCAGACACATAGGGTTCGTTTTATAATTAATTTGCAGGAGCCTTTGCCCTGCAAATATCAGCAGACGCTTGTTTTGTGTGAATAATGACAAAAGCAAACGTTCTTATATCTGCAGGTCGAATGTAATGTGGTGCAATACTACATTATGGCCAGTAGATGGAGCGGAGGTGCATCTTAACTATATATTGACTATGCCCCTTAGCGCCATCTAGTGGCTGTAATTGGTTGTATATGTGTCTCAGCTTGAACAGGATCCACATTGTCCTGAAAACGGTTTTTTTTTTTCATTTGAATTGGGCAAGAAAGTGAACCTCTGTTGGGTCTATGCTGCCATCTGGTTTGCTTTAATTCTAGGTCATGATGACAACTGTGCCGTGTGCCTTCCACTGTGCTAGGTGAGAGGCTCATCAGCCTCCCCCTAGCGCAGCACTGTCAGCTCTTGCACTGAGCAGCCATTCAAAATATGCTGCCCGGTGCAGTGTTGGCTTGAGGTGGGGTGTGCTGGGGGTATGGCTGTGAGGGAGCTCCATCCATACATTGCTTCCAGCTCCCTCGCATGTCCTGTAGAGGAGCCTGGACTGGAGTGATGTCACATTCTGGCTCCCGCCACCTCTACAGTGCACAGGAGAGCTGTACCAGCAATGCACATATGGATGGAGCTCCGTCACAGCACAGCAGCCCACACTGGACGCCAGTCTAAGGATCCACTCCAGTTCTCGTAAGGAAGGGAGACTGGGTGGATCGCGTTCTGGTGCTGGAGATGGGTTGCATTGCCATTCATTTCAATGGCACCCAAACGCACCTCCCGTCCACAGTTCGATCACCCGCACCAGAACGTACGGTACCACAGCGTCATGCATTGCTGTGCGACTTGGGTCACGACTTAATGACTAAGGACAAATGTGGGTCCTGAGGTTACACAGGTTGAGCACCACTGGTCTAAGGGATTTATTGCCGTTTGTGTCTCCATCGGGAAAACAAACCTTTACATGCAAGTGCGATTTATCTCCATGGCCACAGCTCCCGTCTTCTCTCTCTACCTTCCTCCGCACCGTAGGCACCTCCACGGATGTCAGTCGTTACGCCGGCGAGTATGAACATGTGTTTGAGGCCACGACGGCCGGAATCAGTATCCAGGCACCACAGCTCGATATAAACACGGTGGCGGCAGGGGGAGGCTCCATGCTTTTCTTCAGGTGGGAGCATCCTACAGAGGTCTCTCTTTTTATTGTTGTTCATCAATTTCACCATCACAATGAACTACCTCCGCCACTAGACAACCGATATCTGAAGATTAATTATCTTTTGCTTTGTTACTTGTGCTTTGGGAACATTAATCTACATTGCAGCTGTGAAGTAGTAGCGTGCACCTGTGTGCTTTTCAAGTTCCAGGACTGCACTGTCCATGACAAACTAACTATTGGGAACCAATCACAGTGGTCACTGGACGTTTGTTTAGAAACAAACTACTTCAACCTGCAGGTGGCACTGCACACAGAGAAACAGATAGAGCCATCGCAGGTCTGAACAAGGGGGAGGTAGCTGAATAATGCCCACTATGTGTCAGTGAATGTGGGTCCAGCTCAATGTATGCAAAGTGAAGTATCTCCATGTAGGACCACCAGCCCAACATTTCATATAGGTTCTGGTCAAGGTGGGAAATGCCCCTCAGCCCAGTCCTCATCTGTTGGTGACCTTGTTAAATGTCATTGGGCATCAAAGATTCAAAGACCTCCTTTCATTGGTCCGCACAACATCTATTACTTTACAAAGAAAACATTACAAGGGTGTGTACTATTGTGTAATGATCTCTGTTGGAGAACATCAATCAGAACTGTATGCTCAGAATATTTTTGTATGTGAGTGATGAAATTACAGATGGCTGGCCCATCATGAATGTCAGGAAAATAAAATATGTATTCCCTAAAATACATCATCTTTTAGACTTCAAGTAGACCTGTCATCATGTAGGCAACCATTGTGGACCTTCATGGTGCTGATGGTTTGGCTTCCTCCTTGGTACTGACGGTGATGGTCTGGCTTCCTCCTTGGTGCTGATGGTGATGCTTCCTGCTTGATGGTGATGGTTTGACTTATACCATGGTGCTGATGGTCATGCTTTGGCTTCCTCCTTGGTGCTTATGGTGATGCTTTGGCTTCCTCCTTGGTGCTGACGGTGTTGCTTTGGCTTCCTCGGTGCTTATGGTGATGTTTTGGCTTCCTCCTTGGTGCTGACGGTGTTGCTTTGGCTTCCTCGGTGCTTATGGTGATGTTTTGGCTTCCTCCTTGGTCCTGACGGTGATGGTCTGGCTTCCTCCTTGGTGCTGACGGTGATGGTCTGGCTTCCTTCTTGGTGCTGACGGTGATGGTCTGGCTTCCTCCCTGGTGCTGACGGTGATGCTTTGGCTTCCTCCTTGGTGCTGACGGTGTTGCTTTTGGCTTCCTCGGTGCTTATGGTGATATTTTGGCTTCCTCCTTGGTGCTGACGGTGATGCTTTGGCTTTCCCCATGGTGCTCACAATGATGGTCTTGCTTCTATTCTTTTGAGTCTTTGACCAAGAACAAGTATAGAGATGAAGGATAACAACGTCTTGTTCTGGATCTGTGGCTCACAAGTATTTATATCAGAGACCGCTAAAAACAATGTTCTGAAGTAGTAATGTCCATGAATGAGATCCTGAAGGTGTTTAGGAGGATCATGGAGGTGTACCTACAAGGATGAGAAGATGTTTGTGTGTGACATGAAACTGATTGTTTAAACTTAATTTTCAGGTCAGGATTGTTTGTGGTTGGACCAGAGTCTGCTGGAGCCCATCCGGGGCCGGCATGCTACAGGAAAGGTAATGGCTCTTTAAAGTAGATGTGAAGGCAAGGGTGCAGAGAGAAGCGGGGTGATCTTCAGGCATATATCAGAATGCGTTTCAAAGGTTGCAAAGAACCTATCTTGAAACTTTTATTCATCAGTTATGTGACCGCCTCCTGAGCCTCTCTTCTTATTTGTGGCTAGGGCTGTGAGCAGGTTAGAAGCCACAGCTCGTCACCTACTAGACACAGCCTTCCTTTAGCCGTCGGCCTACCGCCGGAGCGGCCACTACAGGGTGATAACACAACTGCTGCCTCTGGGAAGGTGGTTAGTGAGCGTCACCCTACAACAGGAAGTTCAATGGACATTACAGTGAGCAGGGGGACCATTAGGTATTGGTGTCGGAGCTTAGATAAAATAAAACAGGTTTGGCTGTGCAAGTATAGAGATGCAAGGGCAGCTACTGAATATATTTAGGCTAGAAATGGCTGTGAAGGACAGTACCAGGGATGACTGGGGACATCTAGTGATTGGAAGAAATGGCTGTGAAGGACAGTACTAGGGATGACTGGGGACATCTAGTGATGGGAAGAAATGGGTGTGAAGGACAGTACTAGGGGTGACTGGGGACATCTAGTGATGGGAAGAAATGGCTGTGAAGGACAGTACCAGGGATGACTGGGGACATCTAGTGATTGGAAGAAATGGCTGTGAAGGACAGTACTAGGGATGACTGGGGACATCTAGTGATGGGAAGAAATGGGTGTGAAGGACAGTACTAGGGGTGACTGGGGACATCTAGTGATGGGAAGAAATGGCTGTGAAGGACAGTACTAGGGATGACTGGGGACATCTAGTGATGGGAAGAAATGGCTGTGAAGGACAGTACTAGGGATGACTGGGGACATCTAGTGATTGGAAGAAATGGCTGTGAAGGACAGTACTAGGGATGACTGGGGACATCTAGTGATGGGAAGAAATGGGTGTGAAGGACAGTACTAGGGGTGACTGGGGACATCTAGTGATGGGAAGAAATGGCTGTGAAGGACAGTACTAGGGATGACTGGGGACATCTAGTGATGGGAAGAAATGGCTGTGAAGGACAGTACTAGGGATGACTGGGGACATCTAGTGATGGGAAGAAATGGCTGTGAAGGACAGTACTAGGGATGACTGGGGACATCTAGTGATGGGAAGAAATGGCTGTGAAGGACAGTACTAGGGATGACTGGGGACATCTAGTGATGGGAAGAAATGGCTGTGAAGGACAGTACTAGGGATGACTGGGGACATCTAGTGATGGGAAGAAATGGCTGTGAAGGACAGTACTAGGGATGACTGGGGACATCTAGTGATTGGAAGAAATGGCTGTGAAGGACAGTACTAGGGATGACTGGGGACATCTAGTGATGGGAAGAAATGGCTGTGAAGGACAGTACTAGGGATGACTGGGGACATCTAGTGATGGGAAGAAATGGCTGTGAAGGACAGTACCAGGGATGACTGGGGACATCTAGTGATTGGAAGAAATGGCTGTGAAGGACAGTACTAGGGATGACTGGGGACATCTAGTGATGGGAAGAAATGGCTGTGAAGGACAGTACTAGGGATGACTGGGGACATCTAGTGATGGGAAGAAATGGCTGTGAAGGACAGTACCAGGGATGACTGGGGACATCTAGTGATTGGAAGAAATGGCTGTGAAGGACAGTACTAGGGATGACTGGGGACATCTAGTGATGGGAAGAAATGGCTGTGAAGGACAGTACTAGGGATGACTGGGGACATCTAGTGATGGGAAGAAATGGCTGTGAAGGACAGTACTAGGGATGACTGGGGACATCTAGTGATTGGAAGAAATGGCTGTGAAGGACAGTACTAGGGATGACTGGGGACATCTAGTGATGGGAAGAAATGGCTGTGAAGGACAGTACTAGGGATGACTGGGGACATCTAGTGATGGGAAGAAATGGCTGTGAAGGACAGTACTAGGGATGACTGGGGACATCTAGTGATGGGAAGAAATGGCTGTGAAGGACAGTACTAGGGATGACTGGGGACATCTAGTGATGGGAAGAAATGGCTGTGAAGGACAGTACTAGGGATGACTGGGGACATCTAGTGATGGGAAGAAATGGCTGTGAAGGACAGTACTAGGGATGACTGGGGACATCTAGTGATTGGAAGAAATGGCTGTGAAGGACAGTACTAGGGATGACTGAGGACATCTAGTGATGGGAAGAAATGGCTGTGAAGGACAGTACTAGGGATGACTGGGGACATCTAGTGATGGGAAGAAATGGCTGTGAAGGACAGTACTAGGGATGACTGGGGACATCTAGTGATGGGAAGAAATGGCTGTGAAGGACAGTACTAGGGATGACTGGGGACATCTAGTGATGGGAAGAAATGGCTGTGAAGGACAGTACTAGGGATGACTGGGGACATCTAGTGATGGGAAGAAATGGCTGTGAAGGACAGTACTAGGGATGACTGGGGACATCTAGTGATGGGAAGAAATGGCTGTGAAGGACAGTACTAGGGATGACTGGGGACATCTAGTGATGGGAAGAAATGGCTGTGAAGGACAGTACTAGGGATGACTGGGGACATCTAGTGATGGGAAGAAATGGCTGTGAAGGACAGTACTAGGGATGACTGGGGACATCTAGTGATGGGAAGAAATGGCTGTGAAGGACAGTACTAGGGATGACTGGGGACATCTAGTGATGGGAAGAAATGGCTGTGAAGGACAGTACTAGGGATGACTGGGGACATCTAGTGATGGGAAGAAATGGCTGTGAAGGACAGTACTAGGGATGACTGGGGACATCTAGTGATGGGAAGAAATGGCTGTGAAGGACAGTACTAGGGATGACTGGGGACATCTAGTGATGGGAAGAAATGGCTGTGAAGGACAGTACTAGGGATGACTGGGGACATCTAGTGATGGGAAGAAATGGCTGTGAAGGACAGTACTAGGGATGACTGGGGACATCTAGTGATGGGAAGAAATGGCTGTGAAGGACAGTACTAGGGATGACTGGGGACATCTAGTGATGGGAAGAAATGGCTGTGAAGGACAGTACTAGGGATGACTGGGGACATCTAGTGATGGGAAGAAATGGCTGTGAAGGACAGTACTAGGGATGACTGGGGACATCTAGTGATGGGAAGAAATGGCTGTGAAGGACAGTACTAGGGATGACTGGGGACATCTAGTGATGGGAAGAAATGGCTGTGAAGGACAGTACTAGGGATGACTGGGGACATCTAGTGATGGGAAGAAATGGCTGTGAAGGACAGTACTAGGGATGACTGGGGACATCTAGTGATGGGAAGAAATGGCTGTGAAGGACAGTACTAGGGATGACTGGGGACATCTAGTGATGGGAAGAAATGGCTGTGAAGGACAGTACTAGGGATGACTGGGGACATCTAGTGATGGGAAGAAATGGCTGTGAAGGACAGTACTAGGGATGACTGGGGACATCTAGTGATGGGAAGAAATGGCTGTGAAGGACAGTACTAGGGATGACTGGGGACATCTAGTGATGGGAAGAAATGGCTGTGAAGGACAGTACTAGGGATGACTGGGGACATCTAGTGATGGGAAGAAATGGCTGTGAAGGACAGTACTAGGGATGACTGGGGACATCTAGTGATGGGAAGAAATGGCTGTGAAGGACAGTACTAGGGATGACTGGGGACATCTAGTGATGGGAAGAAATGGCTGTGAAGGACAGTACTAGGGATGACTGGGGACATCTAGTGATGGGAAGAAATGGCTGTGAAGGACAGTACTAGGGATGACTGGGGACATCTAGTGATGGGAAGAAATGGCTGTGAAGGACAGTACTAGGGATGACTGGGGACATCTAGTGATGGGAAGAAATGGCTGTGAAGGACAGTACTAGGGATGACTGGGGACATCTAGTGATGGGAAGAAATGGCTGTGAAGGACAGTACTAGGGATGACTGGGGACATCTAGTGATGGGAAGAAATGGCTGTGAAGGACAGTACTAGGGATGACTGGGGACATCTAGTGATGGGAAGAAATGGCTGTGAAGGACAGTACTAGGGATGACTGGGGACATCTAGTGATGGGAAGAAATGGCTGTGAAGGACAGTACTAGGGATGACTGGGGACATCTAGTGATGGGAAGAAATGGCTGTGAAGGACAGTACTAGGGATGACTGGGGACATCTAGTGATGGGAAGAAATGGCTGTGAAGGACAGTACTAGGGATGACTGGGGACATCTAGTGATGGGAAGAAATGGCTGTGAAGGACAGTACTAGGGATGACTGGGGACATCTAGTGATGGGAAGAAATGGCTGTGAAGGACAGTACTAGGGATGACTGGGGACATCTAGTGATGGGAAGAAATGGCTGTGAAGGACAGTACTAGGGATGACTGGGGACATCTAGTGATGGGAAGAAATGGCTGTGAAGGACAGTACTAGGGATGACTGGGGACATCTAGTGATGGGAAGAAATGGCTGTGAAGGACAGTACTAGGGATGACTGGGGACATCTAGTGATGGGAAGAAATGGCTGTGAAGGACAGTACTAGGGATGACTGGGGACATCTAGTGATGGGAAGAAATGGCTGTGAAGGACAGTACTAGGGATGACTGGGGACATCTAGTGATGGGAAGAAATGGCTGTGAAGGACAGTACTAGGGATGACTGGGGACATCTAGTGATGGGAAGAAATGGCTGTGAAGGACAGTACTAGGGATGACTGGGGACATCTAGTGATGGGAAGAAATGGCTGTGAAGGACAGTACTAGGGATGACTGGGGACATCTAGTGATGGGAAGAAATGGCTGTGAAGGACAGTACTAGGGATGACTGGGGACATCTAGTGATGGGAAGAAATGGCTGTGAAGGACAGTACTAGGGATGACTGGGGACATCTAGTGATGGGAAGAAATGGCTGTGAAGGACAGTACTAGGGATGACTGGGGACATCTAGTGATGGGAAGAAATGGCTGTGAAGGACAGTACTAGGGATGACTGGGGACATCTAGTGATGGGAAGAAATGGCTGTGAAGGACAGTACTAGGGATGACTGGGGACATCTAGTGATGGGAAGAAATGGCTGTGAAGGACAGTACTAGGGATGACTGGGGACATCTAGTGATGGGAAGAAATGGCTGTGAAGGACAGTACTAGGGATGACTGGGGACATCTAGTGATGGGAAGAAATGGCTGTGAAGGACAGTACTAGGGATGACTGGGGACATCTAGTGATGGGAAGAAATGGCTGTGAAGGACAGTACTAGGGATGACTGGGGACATCTAGTGATGGGAAGAAATGGCTGTGAAGGACAGTACTAGGGATGACTGGGGACATCTAGTGATGGGAAGAAATGGCTGTGAAGGACAGTACTAGTGATGACTGAGAACATCTAGTGATGGGAAGAAATGGGTGTGAAGGACAGTACCAGGGATGACTGAGGACATCTAGTGATGGGAAGAAATGGCTGTGAAGGACAGTACTAAGATGACTGGGGACATCTAGTGACGGGAAGCATGCGCTGTGGGGGACAGTACCAGGGAAGAGGTTGCAGCCTTTGGCAAGCTTTATTCATGGTATAAACACTGTGATTATTTGGATCCCAGGGGGCCCCCTAACCGTGACCGATGCCAACCTCTGCCTGGGCCGCTTACTACCCGACTACTTTCCACGCATCTTCGGCCCCTCGGAAGACCAACCTCTCTCTGAAGAAGATACGACACGGAAGTTCCAGGAACTGACGGCCGAGATTAACCAGTTTCAGCGTGGCCGACCAGGGGGAGGATCTTCTCTCAGCGTAGAGGAAGTGGCCATGGGCTTCATCAGGGTGGCCAATGAGGCCATGTGTCGGCCAATCAGATCGCTTACTCAGGTAGTGACCTTCAGACCATAGCTTGTGGCCTTTCCACACGCTTGTTAAAACTTATAAACTGATCAAATTTTTACCTATTTTACTCCTAAAGTGTATCTAAAGTCACAACCTTTTTTTCCCCCCAAAAAAATATATCCTGTGTGTGTGTCCCCGTGAGGGAGATGCGCACACTTTAGTTGTCTTGATTGACATCATCATTGGGCAGTACAGTGGCTTGGTGGTTAGCACGTCTGCCTTGCAGCACTGCGGTCCCTGGTTCAAATCTTGGTCAGGACATTATAAGTAGGGATGCGCTGATACCGGTTTTTCGTTATCGAGTACCGATATTTTTTTTCCGGTACTCGCCGATACCGATACCGGAAGTCCCATTAAGGAAACCAGGCGGTGATTAGCAGGGAAGCCGTCTCAATGCTTCTCGTCGCTAGATGATGAGAAAGCATGGAGTCGGCTTTCTGGCCAATCACGAAGCCGGACGCCGTTTAATGATGTGGCGCCCAGCTTCCTGATTTTGCAAGCTTCCTGACCAATCAGGAAGCTGGGCAGCGAGTCATTACACACTGCCTGGCTTCCTGATTGGCCGGGAAGCTGGCTCCATGGTCCCTCGTCACAAGTGACGAGGGAGCATGGAGCCGGCTTCCCGGCCAAACAGGAAGCCAAGCAGCGTGTAATGACTCGCTGCCCAGCTTCCTGATGCCGGAAGTATCGTGTGCATCGGAGCATTTTGGCGAGTATGAGTACTCGCCCAAATACTCGACATCGGCACCAATACTAGTATCTGTATTGGTGCATCCCTAATTCAAAATTTTGGGTTGTCACCAGAACATGACTCTAGATGAAGTCTTCCAATGGTGACACTAGTCTAAGAGGAGATTTACATCATAGACAGGAAGTGAAGGGAAATTCCCGCCTTCCCCCATGGAACATAAAGTCTTATACTGTTCCCTACTTCATCCAAAATAAAAGAAGGCAAAGTTGTGACTTTGGATACTTTGTTTCCTTTTATAGTTTTCCGTTAATCTTTTCTTTTATTTGTTTACAGGCAAAAGGCCATGACACGTCTCGCCATGTCTTATCGTGTTTTGGGGGTGCGGGGGGTCAGCATGCTTGCGCCATTGCCCGCTCACTGGGGATGAAGACGGTTTTTATTCACAAGTACGTCTGATCGGATATTTTGATATTTTATTTATTTTTTCTTTTAAATAATAATTATGCACAAAAATCACATTATTAGTATTATTATTATTATTATTTTCTGTTGGAAGGAACCCGATTCACATTATCAGCAATTTCTGCACAAATAATTTCGTAGGGATTGTTTTATTTGCTGGGAAATTTGGAAGTGACTATCCCCTTGTGATCCCTCCAATTTGTTTGTGATATTGAAGATTATAAAACTCTTCAGGCCTGAAATTCTACAGACTACACGGTACTGGCCCACCGCCCGCCTGATCTTTGGTGGTGACCATCACTGCGCCAATCCCGAGCGCTCTCCCTGATAACCACCTCATGGGAGGCCACAAGCCTGATATCAACCTGGAAGAGATGTTCAGGGGTCCAAATTTGATGGCATTTGGGTCCAAGCTTTGCATCCTATAGCATGGAAAGTCTTTGTGATTTATGGGCCAATTCACCCAAAGGGCCTACTTAATGCTAATGTTTAATCTGCTTATATTTTTATTCCCTGGTCCCCCTCCCCCCTCTTTGAATAAAACCTTCCTATTTCAATTACATATCTTGTATACCCGGTGATGTCATGGCTGGGTCTCTGTGTCTCTCTATACAATGCAGCCAATTCACGGCTGATGGGAGGGGCCGGCACGGTGCTGTACGTAGCTTCCTGTACATAGCTGCGTCAGTACTCCTCTCAAGAGCCCTCAGCCCCCGTGGAAGCATTGGGCTGGCTCTTGGGAGGAGTTATGCAAATATTTAAAATGCCTTGATGGGTGGATGTCAGTCTGGAGGGGTGGGTGTTTCTAGGGGTGTTGTATGTGCATACAGACCTCCCTAGGGACATTGGGCCTCCAGGAACTAAAAGCCAATGAATGAAAGGGGTGGGGTCAGGCTGGGAAGGACAGTGCTAGATGGTGCTGGATGTCCTCCAGCCAGGAAATGAGGGCGGGGCTCTGTGTGACTTGCTGCAGCTTCTAATGCACATTGTGAGAAGCTCCCAGTGTGCAGTGACATCAGAGGAGGCCATTCCAGTCCAGTAGAGGAGCCGGTACAACTAAATTCTAGATGGGGAGTGATGGTTATTTGGTGCCTTAGCCCCCCTCCCCCCCCACCCCCCCAGGCTCAGCTCCTCCTTTGCTCCCTCCTATATTGGAGTGTGTATTAATGAGTAGGGAGCTGCATTCATCTGTTATATTGCCGTATTTACCATTCCACTCCTCCTAGGTACGGGGGTGTTCTGTCCGCTTTCGGCATGGCTCTGGCAGACGTGGTACATGAGGCTCAGGAGCCGTGCTCCGTGCTGTACAGCAAAGACTCCTTCCCTCTCCTGGAGGAACGTATCGCGGCTCTGGAACAGCGGTGTATTGAGGTTCTGCAGCAGCAGGGATTCCACCGGTGAGAGTCCCATCGTCATGTGATAGACCGTCTTCTGATATGTACTGTGTGTGTGTGGTCCGTGTCCGAGCATTGCATGCAGAGTGATACCGTGTGTTTAACCCCTTCAGCTCCCCCACCTGCTCC